CTGCAGAGCCGAGAGCGGGGAGCACCGCGCTCCCGCTACATCTCGCACCGGGCGCTGCTGGTGCCGAGGGAGCGAACAGGGGCCTTGCGTGCTGCGGGGAGCGTCCGTGGGCGGACGGGGGGTGTCCTTGGCGGGGAGGTGTGATAACAGTCGAACTCTGAGCTCCCTTCCAGGGAGCGGGACGGCCCCCGCCCACGCCAGCCGGGACCGCGCCGCCGGGGCCGCGCCGCCGGGGCCGCCCCGCATATGCCCGCTGCCGGGTCGCTCACGGCTCCCGTGACCGGATCAGACCCCGACTCTCCCAGGTGGGACATGCCAGCAAAGTCCGGGCACAAGCGCTCTGCAGGTGGCCGAGGCGCGCTGGTGGGGCTTTTCTTCCCCGTGGCATTTAAAAATGATAAAATAAAATAATAAAGTAAAATAAAGTAATAAAATTCAACCAAGGCTATTTCCTTAGCCAGTAGATGTGTGCCGGAGGCCTCTGGTCGCAGTTCACCAGAGACTTCCAAGAGAGCTGAGCAATGCCAAGCCCATGTAAACAGGATCAGGGAGCGCGACAGGGATCAGCCTTTGGTCCTCCCGCGTCGGACAAACCGAGCGTCTCCCCAGGAGGATCTGGCCACTGGACCCGAGCGGCTGCGATCGCACTCACTGGCCTCCGGCTGCATGAAGCTTCTGGTGTATAGTATTATTTATCATTATTTTTCCCCTTCTTTTCTGCTTACGTTCCTACTTCCTGAAGGGGAGCAGGGCGATGTGAACTCAGGCCTGACAGCACCTGTGCAAAGAGGCAGGGCCGGCCGGGGCCGCAGGGGCGGCCCGTGGCGGGTGCTGGTGCGGGGGCGGCGGTGCCCTGGCTAGACACCAGGTGCCACCTTCCTCCCCGTCTCTGCATCTAACCCGCTCCTAGAGGCATGTGCTTAAACAAGACGAGTATCAAGCCCACGATAAAAGTATTCTGCAACGTAATCTACATCAAAGCCTCGGGGGCTGCCGGCTTGAAAAGATCCAAGATGTTTTCTAAGTCCTTATCATGTCTGTGCTTAGGGGGAGTCATAAATTCCACAGGTCGGACTAACACACGATTCCTCCTTCCCTTCTCTCCCCATGGTCACCAAAGGGCTTTCAAGCGGGTTTTTTTTCCCCTTCCTTTCTTTTTTTTTCTTTTTTTTTTTTTTTAACCTTACAAACAAAGCTCCCGGTTCCATGTCGTTAAGGTCCTCCCCCATACTCCACCCCGAGATTTTCCTAAGTCACGGAAAAATAAAATCTTTAAAGAACAAAACTATTAGAAGTAAAGACGATGAATCCGCATCCCCACAAGGGTCCCGCCGAGACGGAGCAGTTGGTGGAGGAGGGATCGCGGGCTCTGCGCGGCACTCGGTCTTTCCCGAGGCTTATGGGGAGGTGTCTGGCCCAGGACGGGGTTCCTCTTGCTATGCTGCTCGGCTCATTATCCCCCAGTCCGCCCCAGCCCCGTGGCCCGAGGCGACGGTGAGCGGCGGCTCCGAAGCGAGGTGTCCTCTCCAGACCCGGGCACCAGCCGCGGCCTGCCCCCTGGCATTCCTCCGCAGTCATGCCACTGCCCTGACTCCCCCTCGGAATAATGTCGGAAATTATTTTTTCAGATCAAGACGTAAGGCTGAAGCTGAAGGAGGAAGGCGGGGTGCCCGGCGTCTGCCCAGCGGTCATCGTGGCGGGGAGGGGGAAGATACTTCCCTGCAAGCAGTGTCAGGCACTTGTCAGGCACTTGTCAGCTTGAGAGGCGTTGTGTCACATTTCCCCCTCAGGATCTAACGAAATAGGGAAGAAAAAAAAAAACCACACCAACACAAAACACGAAGGAAGCAAAGAGGGAGATACCAGGCCTTCGCCCGCGCTCTGGTGTCGGAGTCCGGTCCCGGGATCCTCTCTTCTCTCCCAGAACTGCAGCTCTGGGCCAGAGTCGGCGGGAAAACCTGAGATGAAGGCAGCAGGGAGCGGGCAGCTCCCTCCTCCAGAACGGAGAGGAGTAAAAGGGGGAAACTCGGCCGAGAGAGAGACCTTCTCTCCCCACTCTCCTCGGGAAGTCTCGATCTCTGGGTAGGTCAGGAAAGGGGACAAATCCTGTGCCAGTCGCAGGGAAAAGAAGCCCGACCAGCGTCACAGGCATGTAGATATGCGCGGCTCAGGATCCCTCTTATTGTAAGACAAGAGGGTCCCGGCGCAGTGTATCCTCACCCCTAGCAACCAGGCAGATCGCTGGGACAGGTCGGGTCCGGGGGGCAGCTGTTCGGCGGCGGAGGATGCTCCAGAGCATTTATCCGCGGGGGAAGCGGGACTCGTCCCCCCCCCCCCGCCGGCTTAGGGTAGGGGACGGCTGGTAGGGCCGGTCTCCCCAAGTCCTGCCTGTACTCCGGGGGCAGCTGGAATCCCTGTCCGAATGGCAAAGTAGGTAAGCAGAGCCGTGCGCTCGCTGCGATGCCAGGTGATTGCGGTGCTGCCTCGGAACCATGTCCTGCTCCTTCGCCGTCGTCCCGGGACTCTCATCGACTCCGCGGCCGACGGCCTTCATCCCGGCCAGCATGAGCTGGCGTCAGGTCTCACCCCGAAACGCTACCACCTGCCTGCCAGGGATTCACTGATGGAGCCTTAGACACAGAACCGGCCTGTTTCGGGGCAGGTCAGGATTGTGGTGCGTTTTTAATACAATATGTTGAGAGTTTTGTCATTTTAATGACCCCTTTCTCCGTTTATGGCATCATCAAATTCACATCTGCATAGATCGGCTCTGTCGGTGCTTATCGGGACAGGCGGTTACATTGAAGGTACACAGCATTTCTTTTCCACAGTTACATTTCAGTCTCCTGCTCAGAGAGCTCTGGGGGCTTTAAGTCCCACTCCCTCTCCCTCTCGCCACTGCTGGGGCGGGGGGAAAGTGTCATAGTAGGAATGAGCAACAGGGAGAGAAATCCCTTCAGAGAAGGCGGCTAGCAGGCGTTCCTGCATCTCTGCTGTTGTGTTGCTGTTATCGTAGGCTCGCATCCGCGGCAGTCAGCGACAGCCTAAGGATGACAAGTGACAGTGTGGGCGCAGGCACGGCTGTGTGGAGGGTGGGGGTACCCCGTTCCTCGCATCCGGGGTATCCATAGCAGCTCCGAGTGGGCCGCCCTTGGTCTCTTCCCCAGGAGCGATGCTCCGTCCTTCACCTCTTGAGCGTCCCGGTCTCACAGGGCCACTGATGATGGACCTCTCTGGATATTTAGGAAGAGGTAGCTGAATTATTCCCACTGGCATTAAAACATGGCTTTGCGTCAGCCCCACGCTCAGCGCCAAAGGGCCCAGTAAAATGGGGTGGAAGGAGAGGGCAGATTTTCAGGGAGCGCGAATAGGGAGATCGGCCTCTACAGAGCTGAAATCCGCCCTCAGCTGTAAGACGCCCCGTCTTAATGACACTCCTCGGTGTGCAGAACAGCCACCCACGTGGAAGGAAATATACCCTTGGGACACGGCCACAGGGATCTCCGTACTAATACCTGGGACACGCGTGTCCGGGATAGCGCGGGGCCTGTGGGAGAGGCCCCGTAGGACCTAGCCGCAGAAGCCCCAAGGGGAGCGGGAGAGCCAGCGAGGACGGCTGAGACAGTGCTGCGCTGCTCCGGCGCTGTGTGCTGCGAAAACGGGGGCACATTCCCGTCCCCATCCATTTTTTTCTCGGCGGTTGAAAGGTTTCCTCGCTGTGTCATGAGAAAAGATGCGAATATGCAAACGTCGTCTCGCATTGTCCCCGCTCAGGGTGAAAAGTTAAAGCATAAAAGCGGCTGGGGGAAGCTGAGAGGGGGTCGCCTCTTCAAAGGAGACTGGCTGGGCCGGGGGAGCCGGCTGCCGCTTACCCGGGAACCGCCCTTCCAGGGCCAACATTTCCACAGGGTTTCCAAGGCGTCGGGGAGGGAAAAAGTGAGTGTGCGTGGAGAGGCAAGTCGTTGGGTTCCCCGCGGGCTCGGCCGCGCCACAGAGAGGGAATCGCACCCTGAGGTGGCAGGCTCCAGAGGCTGATGATTGCCCCCTTGGGGAGAACCACCCTCTGCCTCGGACCCAAGGCCCCCGCGGTCCCAAGGACGGAGGGATAATCCGGCCTTGCTCCCGCGGTGAATCCGAGGGCAGTGGGTGTTTCAGACGAAAGCACTCCCAGTCTTCGTCCTTTCCCAGACCCGGGGCCCAGCCTAGGCGCGCTCGACCTCGAAACTCTGCAGGCACACGCGGAGGAAGGAGACAGCACCCTCGGAGTGGGGATTTCTCCTCTTACCTCGCCTTCATCGCCCGTGACCGAGTGGGACCGGGATCGGGTGGGAAGCGCAATGGAAAAAGCAGTAGGCCGTCGCGATGGGGTTTGTTGCTTAAAACTACCACGACAAAATGGCTTTGTGGATTTTTAATCAAAACTCCCTCCTCTTCCGCCCCTTCCCCCTCCACCTCCCAACCCCGAGCACGGAGAAGAGCTGGTTAAAGTGCTGCCTGCAGATCGGCCGTGATACACGGCTCCCATATTCCCACCCTCGCCCTTAGATCTCCCTCTCTGTCTTTTGCAAGTCTCTTGATTTCATCCTTTGAACCTGTGATTGGAGGTTAAAGTGCACCAGGTTGCAATGGAAGGAGGAAGCTCTTAAACAATAAAGGCTTGAATATTTAGCTGTGATCAGGTCGCTGCCCTCTCCTTATCTTTTTAAATGCAAATCGTCTTTTAGGGGTAGAAGCTATATACCCAGCGCCTCTCCACGTCACCTGCCTTTGGTGTGTCTGGGCCATTACTAATAGAGCCTTGTAAACAATCGTTAATCATGTAAGGGCTGCAGGCCATTGGATTCGGACCGGGAGCGCGGAGGAGCGCGGAGCGCAGAGCGGGGCCGCGGCCCCTCCGCCTGCCCCCTCCCCGCCCCGGGCAGCCCGGCCCCACGCAGCAGGCGCGCCGCGGCGAGAGCCCCGAGCAGCATGTGGAGAGCCGCCGCCGGGGCACCGCCAGCATGTACGTGAGCTACCTCCTGGAGAAGGACGGACCCATGTACCCCGGCCCGGTGCGGCACTCGGGGGGACTCAACCTGGCGGCGCAGAACTTCGTGGGCGCCCCGCAATACGCGGACTACGGCGGGTACCATGTGAACCTCGACGGCGCCCAGTCCCCCGGCCCGGCCTGGCCCGCGCCCTACACCGCCCCGCTCCGCGACGACTGGGGCACCTATGGCCAAGGGGCACCGCCGGCCGCCGGCTCCGTCCACGGCCTCAACGGGGGCTCCCCCGCCGCCCCCATGGCCTACAGCCCCGCCGACTACCACCACCACCATCACCACCCGCATGCCCACCACCACGCCGGCCCCGCGCCTCACTGCTCCGCCGGGGTCATGCAACCCCTCAACGCCGCCAGCGTCGCCGCCAGCGCCGCCCCCGAGCCGCTCTCCCCCGGTGGGCAGCGCCGCGGCCTCTGCGAGTGGATGAGGAAGCCGGCGCAGCCCCCGCTCAGCAGCCAGGGTAAGTGCCGGCCGGGAGGAGGCGGGCAGGGGGCTGCCCCGCCGACGGCTCCACCGGGGCGCCGACGGCTCCCCGTGCGCCGTGCAGCGCGGGAGAGCTTTTTTTCGGGGAGAGCTCCCCGAAACAAACCCCCCGAGGGCCGGTCCTCGGGAGCACAGGGCTGCCGGCCTATGCCGACAGCCCATCAGCGCCGCCGAGAGCGGCCCCGCCGCGGTGCCGGGCCGGCTGCGGTAGGAGCGGCGCTTCGCCAGGGAGCAGCCGCTGCCGGCCCCGGGGGCTCTGTGCCCGGGGGGCGCTCCGACGGAACAGGGTTGAATGGCCCTGATCCCGAGGAAATACTCGCTCTTCCTCACACTGCTCCGCTCTCCTGCTTATAGCCACTTAGAAGATTTTTATAACCAATTATAGTCATATAAATCATCGGCCGGTGTCGCTCCGCATTTGTTTCTGAGTCACTGGGCGCCTGCCCTTTATTAACGTCTCCGTGCGGCCAGGCCTCCCAGGCGGCCGCCCGTCGATTCCTGCGGGCTGTGCCGTGCCCCTGGCCGGGCCAGACCGTGCCAGCGGGGCCGGAAGGTGCGAAGGCGTGCCCCGCCGGTGCCCCGGCGGCGGGAGGCCGGTCCCGGCTGCTGCGGGCAGGACGGGTCAGGCCGTGGCCGGCGCCACACTCCCTTGTGATGTTAATACCCCTGCAGACCCTCTCTTTTATACCCCCCCCCCCCGCATCTGCCAGGAGAGTTGCGTGTCCCCCACTTTGATATACGCCTTCCACGACTGCTGTCTCCTCTTTTGCCTTTTCTTTCTCTTTTTCTTTCTCTCTTTTTTTTTTAACATTTATATATATAGTGGCCAAAAAAAAAGTATGGCGACTTTGGCAGTAAATAACAACTTATGTCATTCCCCTCTCATCCCCTGCCTTGCACGACCGGCGGGAACGGCGGGGGCTCCCCGGGCGGCTCGAAGTGGGGATCCCGGTTACTCCCGAGGCCGCCGCGCCTCAGTGCCCCGGTGCCGACCGCTGGCAACAGTCATGTCCCGGGGGACGATGGCAGTGGAGCTCTTACAGGCCCGTCGCTCTTCCCACAGCAGCCCGTGGTGTTCCCACAGTTTGAGCTTGTGCGGCGGTGGCCGGTCCCTTGTCTCCATTCAAATTCTGCCTTTGGAGCCAGTGTTTATGTTAATGTGCAGAGCTGGGGGGATGAAAGCGCCTGCCGCCATTTGTTCAGTAGTGGTAATTCAAACAGAATGTGGCTGTCATTAAGGCTTTGAGAAGGGTTTTTCTTTGATAAGATCTCCTTGTCCTGCATTGTTTGGGATTGTGTTCCCTATTCACTGGCTCTAGGGAGTTTTCTCTGATCAGGCTTGTATCTTTACAGGGTGCTTTTGTTGTGGTTTTCAGAGAGTTTACCTGAACAAAGTCAGCTTGCTAGCCATTAAGCACCTTGGGGGCAGAGACTCCCCTTCGGCTCCCTGGGGAACGGGAGGGCAGGGGACACAACCAGTTAAACAAGAAACCCTCGGGAGAAAGGAGGTCACCGGCTGCGGCGATGCACTCTGACCGGCCACTCTCTGGCATCCGCCTTCGGATTTTGTTGAGATTTGAATTTTCGGGGTTCGGTTAGCTTTTTTTTGGTTGGTTGGTTTTTTGTTTTTTGTTTTTAATTGAGCGCTCAAGTTGCAAGTCACACTTCCGGGGTCTCCAAGAAACCCCTTAAGTCTCTTCGCCGACGCCGGAGCAGAAAAGGGGAAACTGGGCCGGGACCCGAGCTGTCCCCGCGGCCGCTCCGGGTTCTCCGCCCTTAGGTCGGTGTTTCTCGTTTAGAAATGGAATCCCCGGGTCCTGAAAGGGACTTTTCTTTCTTTCCGTTTTCCCCTCTCTCTATAAAAAGTTTGTTCTCGCTGGGGAAGGCAAAACAAAACCGAAACTAACAAGCGCACAATGAAGATGTCCCCGCGCAAGGCAGGGGCGTGTGGCGGGGCCAGGGCTGGCAGATGAGGCTGAGAGCCTGCGCCTGGTATGCCCTTACCTGCGGCATGCCTGGGATTTGTATCCCATTCCCCAAGGAAGTGCAGAACGTCTTCTCTCTCCTCTGCTGCGCTCAGTAGAGCCCAGGGCGGGGGAAGAGAGCAGGAAGCCCAGGAGGTGGGTGGGAGAACTGCTCCTGATCGTTCTGCGCCACAGGGGGGAGAGCCACGACCAGAGCCTTTGGCTTTGACTTTCTCAACCATGGCTTTTTTCTCCGCAGTTAAAACCAGGACGAAAGACAAGTACCGAGTCGTGTACACTGACCACCAGCGGCTGGAGCTGGAGAAGGAGTTTCACTACAGCCGCTACATTACCATCAGGAGGAAAGCGGAGCTGGCCTCCAACCTGGGGCTATCGGAGAGGCAGGTCTGTCCCACGAGTGGCTCTCCCCACGTGTGGCCGGACTGCGCGGAGGCAGGGATGCACGGGACGGGGCTGCACGGGGGGCGGAATGCACGGGGTTGGGATGCGCTCTCGGTGCGAACCCCTGAGACGGGTCACGTCCACGGTAAACTGCCCCCCCTCACTCCCTTGTCTCCCACCGGCAGGTGAAAATCTGGTTCCAGAACAGGCGGGCGAAGGAGAGGAAGATCAACAAGAAGAAGCTGCAGCAGGCGCAGCCCGGCGGCGCGGAGCCTCTCAGCCCCAGCGCCTCATTGCAGGGTCCCGCGGGGGGGGCGGCCGCCGCCGGGCTCGGCCCCGCCGCCCCCCAGTGACAGAGGCCGGGGACAGCGGTGCAGGGACTGCTGGAGAGCGCAGCGGGGCCGGGCCGAGCCGGGCTGGGGGGCACGGTGGGAGCGGCCCCCCAAGATGCACTACACCGCCCCACGGGGCCGGCCGTGTGTACAGGTGTACAGTGTATGTGTCTCGTCGTCCGGGGCAAGCGTGTCCATCGCTTTATTAATATTATTATTATTATGTTTGGGTGCTTTTTTTACCCCAGAATTTGTTAGATAAAATGGGGGCACTGCCTGTCAGTCAACCCCCGGTATATCTCAGGGATCGGTCCAAAAGACCTTAGAAATGTTGTTGGGCTAATGATGAATTTTAGCAGGAAAAAAAAAATTAAACCACTTTTTTTATTTTATATTTTATTTTATTTTCTTCTTGCAACCATTGGGAATATGCAAAATGTTCATCCTGCCCTAAGGGTCAGAACAGACAAGATAAGGCACTGTTTAAATGTTCAGAAGTGAATTGCTTAATGTCAGACACTTGTAAAAGAGCCCATAAATCCAGTGCTGATAGTCATCCAGCCAGATTTATTAGCTGTAGTGCAAAGAAATTGGACGAATTTAGTTTCTTCTGGAAAAGGTGTCCCGTCATGCTAGAGTGAGGAGCCTTGTTTGCATGTGCAATGTCCTGTTGGTTATGTTATATGCTGTTTCTCACATCCTTACATTTTTTATCTTGTTTGGAGGGGGGTTTTTTTGTTAGTTTTCCAAAGTCCCCTTGATTTTATCAGCTTTCTGTAGACAGCTCCACCAGGAGCAGAAATCCTCAGAAGAGCCTGTGCTATACCAGAGCCCACCTTGCACTTGCTATGGCCCATTTTCACACGCTGGCTAGATGGTGGGGACTGGAGTAGAAATGCCAAACAACTCACCTTAGACAGAGGTGAAAATAAGAAAAGTCCAGCTGATTGGACAGATGTCTGTGGCTGTTTGCCATATGTACTTTTTACTTATGGCTGGGAGAAACCCCACTGAGAAGTGAGGCCATGCAGACAGGTTGGGGTGGCCACATTGTTACTCCATTTGCCTTCTTTGAGGCACTTTGGTTTTTTCCTTACTGAACCTTTCTTATCTTTTTGTTAAAAGCCAAAGACAAATGCCAACAAGTATCTACAGAACTGCATGGGGACAACTGGTTTGCCAGGGCCTGGCCCTACTGACACACTAGCTCTCTCTGCCTAAGAGAACTCGGGGAAATCGTAAGGACCAGCCCCAAAGCCTTTGTACTACATTTTGGCTACATGTAGCTCCATGCCTTGCTGAGCCGGGAGCCAACAATCTGACAGCGGACAGTTGGCCATGCAAACCTGATTCAGGGCTCCTGTGCCTGTGGGAAGACCACAGTGGGAGTCAGCACCTCCAGTTCAGGGAACCTGCTTGATTTTGTGCTATGTGCATAGTCTTTGGAGTGGGTTTGGCCAGGAGACATGGGTGCAGCACCCAGGCAGTTAATGCTCATTGCGCATGGGATTGACACACAGCCCATCTTGCTGGGTCCAATGTCCATGGTTTGCTCTGGATCAGAGGGAGGCAGGAGCCAGATCCATCTTTCTTGGACTCTAAAGGGTCCTTGGAACTTTCAGGAGGAGTTGCTTCCCTGGGAACAACTAAAGCTGAGCAGCACCCAAACTGAGGGGTCTCGGCTCTGCAGCACCAGAGGAGAGCAGTTGCACCAGGAACGGCCAGGTTAGGAGGACTTTGCAGGCACCATGATCCATTCCTTCCTCTGAGGTCTCCCCAGCCATGGAGGCTCTCAGGTGGCAGCAGTCATGATGCAGCCAGGGTGCAAGCAGGCCCGAGTGGTGCCACCCCTTCGAGGATGTCCTCTGGCGCCCAGGGCCACCCCCGCAGCATTGATCCCGGCCGGCTGCTGCCGGAGCTGCTGCGCGTTGCTGCGATACGCCTGTCAATAAACCCTGTTTGGATTGTGGAGCAGAGCACAAGGTTTGTTTGTTTAGTGGTTAGAGGTTCAAAAGTCGGCATTGTCCCACTGCAAACGAGCACAAGTTTTTTCTCCCTAAGGAAAAGCTGGCTGCGGTGAGAGGAGGGAGAGATATCGGTGGGCCCTTTTATTTGCTTCCAGGAATAATTAATGGCAGTGCAAAAAAAGATGACCACGGAGTTATGAAAGACCATCAATAAGTAAATTAATCACAAAGGATCTGGGGGTGTAAGAGGTGCTGCTTAGTGTGGGGGTTTTTGCATCTCCCCATGCCTGCTGGGCTGGGCTGACATGGGACTGGCAGAATCCAGGGCTTTTTACTGCAGTGGTGGCACACAGCTGCTCCTGGCACCAGGCCAGGCATGGCAACTTTGGGACAGTCCCTGTAATCCTTCTGTAGTGTGCTCTGGGTTGCTTTTAATATTGAAAGTGTTAAAATGTCTCTTTTTTGCCTGTAGGACTTATGAGAAAGAGTTACTCCCATTGAGGTGAACTGCTTGATGTCCACGAAAGTTATATGTCTCCAAAAAGTTCATTAGATACATATAAACAGGCCCAACATGTTTTAAAAATCCCCATTCCAGATCCCTTCCTCTCTTTGTTAATAAACATTCATTTTCTGAGCTCTCTCCACATTCTTGACCATGGTAAGGCAGAACTCAAATTTCTCACTGTAAGAAGGAACCAACCAAGCAAATCATATCCACACCCAATCTCAAATATGTCCCCACTCCCATCACCAAACAAGCAAACCATCAACCTTCTGGCTTCCTTGCTATTCCTTGTGTACCATAAAGGAGTGTAAAAAGGCACAAACTTATTTATTTGGGTGGATATTTGAGGCATCTGAATCAATCCAGTGGCTGGACCATGACATTGAACCAGAAGTTCTGTTTGTGAGAGGTGAGCTGATTGTGGTGACTCCCCAGTCAACCCATGGGTATTTTCACCTCTCACAGAGCTCCCCACTGTCCTGCAGCAGCAAGCTGAGCCAGATTGGTGGGGCACAGTAGGTCAGAGCTGCTGTAGCTTGCTTGCCTGGCAGGAGCTGGAGTAGATGTCCTTGAAAAAATATCCAGGAAATTGGAGGGTTTCGTCCCAAAGTTGCAGGATGGCAGTTCCCTGCTCTCCTTCTCTTGCTCTTTCTTCTCCTTTCCTGCTCTTATCACTGTACAATAACGAAACACTTAGGATTCCTTCTCTTGGATTAGCTTTTGGACAAACATCAGAGTTTCTCAAGAAAGCTCTTTGAATTTGGGGTAAGTCAACAATACGTATCATAGCCCAGCATGGGGAGAACAATAAGGTACTTAGGGGACTTGGATGGCATCTAGAGCGAAGGTCTGTTTTCTCTGATCTCGAGTATCTTTCAGGGGCACTTTATGTGTCACCAGTCTGATGGCTGAGCATTCTGGATCTGCAGGATGAAGTAAGATTTTTAAAAAGTAATAAATAAATAAATAATTCAGCAGTAAGCAACAACTTCAGACACATCCCCCACCCGGCCTTTTTGCCCACACAGGTGACTTCTGCGAGGCAGGCTGTTTCCATCCATGGGTGAAGCAGCGACTAGAAGCACACATCCCAGTCATAGAGCAGAGGGCAGAGGCCATCCTTCAGAAACCAAGAGGAGATTTTGCTATGCATTACTTAAATTCTGGCTCCAGAGGGCTGTGAGAGGTCATAAGTTTCTCTTTGCTACTCCATCAGTGGCTGGTGTGGAAGAGGAAATAATGGAGTTTCCAGTTCTGTTGACACATCTCTGCTGGATGCAATGCTTCATAGTCAAAATTCATGACCGAATACTTTCCCTCAGTCCCACCTGGATAATGGAGCTGTGTGCTGAAGTTTAAAGCAGTTAGAGCTGAAAGCAAAAGTTGAGTTGATGCCAGAGAAGCAGCACTGGAGGCCTTCCAGGAGCAGCTTGTAAACAGTAAAAAAGTCAGCAGGACACAAGTCTGCTGAAGGCACTTCCAGCTGCACAGGTAGCTCACCAACAAAACAAGGTCACCTTGGTGTGAGAGGTTATGGTATGAGTGGGCTGATGTAAGAGAGGACAAATGCCAGGGAGGTGCATATAGAAAGCTCCCCAGCAAAACAGCTCTGGTTACTGGCAGAAAGCCATGGCAGAGAAGTGTCAGGAACTTCTGGGAACAGATGGGGCCAAACTCTCCCGGAAGCCTTTGCAGCCTGTGGGCTTTGCTCCAGATAAGCTCCTTGGTGGAGCAGGATATTCCCGCTCTCCTCACTGATGAGGAAGGACTGCTTCCTTCTCACCTCCATGTTCTGCCATGCTCTGACTCAGGTGAATACAGGCAGTTTCTTCTAATTAATGTCTCAACTTCTGCAATGTCCCCAGTTCCATTCTCAGTTTTTGACACTTTCAGAAGTCAAACTTACCTTCCTTGAAAAAGGGCAATTGACAGTTACTTGCAAAGGAACAGGAAAAATTTGAGCTATTCACAAAAACAAATAGTTCATTGTCAGGAGACTGGAGTTACGGACCTGGGAATCCCTTTCTAGCCCTGTATTCCTAAATTGAAGTATCATCTGTTTTGGGATGATACCCACTTGATCCCCCTGTAGATGCTTCAAACTAAGTACAGAAAAAGAGAGGATGAAAACTCACAAATAGTTCTCATTACATGTTTACATGGATGTCCAGATACTGATCTGTGGCATTCATTAGGCTCCAGTCCACTTAACCATTGGCAAGCAACAGGAATAATTTTCTCCTTGTTCTTAATTTCCTCTAATTATGCTAATAACAAACCTAACATAATATCTAATATTATCTACCTATAATAGATAACCTATTTAATGTAATATCTAACCTACTGGTCAAGGCAGATGTTTTGATTCAATTCTTCAAATTGACAGAAGCATGTTACCTTTCTTAAGTGTGCTGCATAGAATCGTATAATAGCATAGGTTGAAAGGGACCTTTAAAGCTCATCTAAGTCAATGAGCAAGGACATCTTCAATCAGGTCAGGTTGCTCAGAGACCAATCCAATGTGACTTTGAATATTTCCAGGGATGGGGCTTTCACTACCTCTCTGGGCAACATGTTCCCGTGTTTCACCATCATCATAGTAAAAATTTCTACCTTATATCTAGTCTAAATCTACCCTCCTTTAGTTTAAATTTCTAACAGCTCATTTCCAACCTGCTGATCCCTAGCACTTGAGCTGGACTGAAGAAAACTAGACAGAAGTCAAATATAACATCTGGATTCATTATCTGCCTCTCTGCTCCCCTGCACCTAGCTGCAACAGGCAGGGCTAGAAAAAAACACTGTTTATAGTGCTGTTCCAAAAGAAGAGAACAAGCCAAACAGAGCACATGGGCCTTTCCTGCTTTCAACATTTTTTCTTCCCTTAGTCACCCAGGTATTTTTTGGCAGCTGTTGC